CCGGGAGCATTCCTCGTATACTCCCATAAACTTTCGTACTTTTTTGTTGATGTGGCTCCATTTGGAAGTGAGTTGGTCACGGGTTCGGTAGGAGCCGTCCTTCTTCATCGCCGTGAAGAACTTCTCCTCGATACGATCCCACATCGCATCCTTCGTTTGCTCCGTACCTTTAAAAAAGTATTACACAATTTTTTTTGACACCATTAAATATAATATATATAAATAAAAATATAAATATATTAGAAAAAACAAATTTTTTACCAATGATAGGATGCTCGGAGACGTCAACCCAAGCCGACGCCAATATGCACTCCTCCTCCGGCGTCCACTTTTGGATTGACCGTGCCGCATCGGTCAACGTGCTTTTGGCTTTGTGGCTCCTCCGGCGTGTACTTTTTTTCGATCCGGACGGTTCCGGTTGAGTCTCCGGAACCGAATCTCGGTCGACGTACCCCGATTGTTGCGTCTCGTATATCGGCGGTCGATCGCCCCACTCTTGGTAGAACCACATCGCGGCGTCACTCGGGGGGAGATTGTCGGGAACGAAGCCGGAGCCGGAAGGATTCATGTTGAAAATTGGGAGGAGGGATTTGAATTTTGAAATTTAAAAATAAGAAAGAAGAAGAGATTGGAGAGAAGGTGTGAGAGATTGGTTGGGGAGGGTTGAATTTATAGGAAATTTTTTTTTTTTTAAATTGGGGTGCAACGGCTTTTTTAGCCGTTAGGAGGGAGCAGCGCCGATTCACGCCGCGTCAAAGGAATGACACAGCCGCCCTCACGCCCGTTTCACGCCGGCGGGGGGCGGTGTTTCACGCCCCCGGGTCGTTAAACGCCCCGTAACGCCGGTGGGCGTGAGGGGTATTACCAGTGCTCTTAGCCATTGCCCTTAATACCTTATTTAGATTATTTTAGTATAAAACTCATAAACAACTGCCCTTATGTACTATATTGTCCACACTTCACAAAAGTATACACTAATAGACCAAAACACCTTAATATATGTTGGGAAATTAATTCATTGTTCCACATTGGAAAAATATGTGGAGAGAGGATGCATGAAACTTTTATACGCCTTCCGTCCCAAATTAAATTGCATGTTTACTATTTACAAAATTAAACTTTTAATATAATATCATCATCACTAGTTTTGTATATCTTTTGATGTAGTTTTAAAATATGTAAATTTTTAATTTTTTTAAGTTCTACATCGTTTTTCATATAAAATGATTTGAAAATAACTTCAATCAAACATCGTAAACCCAAAACAGGCAATTTAAATTGAGCTAGTTATCATGTTTTTGTTGGGACCACTTTCCATCTCACATTGGGAAGTAGAAGAAAATTTAAATAAAACGAAAAAGGTTCAATCCAATCCCTCTGTGAGAGCTTGGCCTAAAGCAACTAAATCCACCCATATTCATCTTTAAATAAAATGAACTGAAAAAAAATTAAAATTTTACTTTTTATGTGTAATGTGGTAAAAAATTTGGAACGGAGGAGTAAATGTTAGAAGTGAATCCGCCGTTCAGGTATTATCCCAGTCACGGGTCAACCCAATCAACACGCGCTAGAAATGCACATACAATGATTTTCTATGCATCACAAACAATGATTGTACATGCGAAATGTCTTTTCTAGCATGACTCTCTTTGATAACAAAAATAGAAAAACAATGTGTACTCAATTAATCCTTTGTTAACCACAAGAATAAAAAATGGATAAAAGATATATGACTCACACTTCTTTGAATTAACGTGTTGAGTTTCAAAACTGAGATGTCAAAAAACATCCCACAATATTTTGGATTCTTTGGTGTTGAAATTGGTACTAACCCTAATTTGGGAAGTGGGACAGAGGGAGAAATACATTTCTTATCAGAAAATATTCAGCTTTGACAAATTTGTATATGGTCAATTTGTATTTAAAAACAAATTAGTGTTGAGTGCCACAAAAGATTAGTTGTACTCAGTTCTTTTGAGAATGTAATTTAAAACAATTTTAATGAAATAGTTCATATATATCTGTATTTGGTCATCTTTTGATTTTTTTGCCAGAAGATTCATTTAGTAACTTTGTACATTTTACACGAATATTGGTCAAATTGTATTATCGCTCGCTGAATATTTGTCCAGTTTTAACCTTTTGTAGTCAAAATTGACAAATTTTAACTATTAATTAAACAAAATCGATATTAAATATTGATACAAAAACAATTTTATTTGATTTATTTTATAAAATATTTTTAAAATATTATTTTATCTAATTAATATACCGTAAAATACATATTAAAATACTACATCAAAAGATCTACAAAATTAGTGGACACAACTATTTTATTTTATCAAATGACTAATAAAAATAGAAAAAGAAAGTGAATGAAATTCGACCATGTGAATTGTACACATGCTATTTAATTTGGGATGGAGGGAGTAAAAAATTCCAAATAAAATTTTAAAGTTGCATTATAGACACTTATTAAAATGTTATTGCTACTTATATTTAAAATAAGAAGTGTTTTGTAAATTATAAATTTTTTCAAATGATAAAGTTAAATTAAAAATCTAATCGAAAGCACGGGATTAAAATAAAATTAAAATACACTCCGTAAAATTGCTTTCATTAGAAGAAAAAATTTAAATTGTATCTATACATTGAAATTTTAGGGCCAACCAAGGCTTGTGCAACCTCCCCAATTGCAGAGGGCGCAAAAATGTAAAGCCCAAGCTGCAAGACATAAGATCTTGAATTGGACTAGGCCCATATTAAAGAAATGAAGCATTGAGTATCCGCTATAATTTAAAAAAAAAAAAAGGAAAAGCCGATAAAGAGAGCGAGAGACTCGCTGCCGATCGACGTCGCCGACGCCATCTCTCCGGCGTCACTCTTCAGGTATCCTCTTCTGCCATCCGATCCCACTCTAATCTGTAAACTCCGTATCTATAGCCTCTATGTTTCCTTCTCCTTTTCTAAAGTCTCTCCATTTCCTCTTCCAGTTTCTTCGCTATTTAATGGCATGTTCTCTACTGGTATGAATTTGTATTTGTGTCATAAATTGTTTGTTTTTTTTGGACATGCGAATTTGTGGGCTGTTGAGATTTCCTTTTGACCTCTTCTATGCTATTTTATGGGCTGTTTTGGCTATTTTAATTTGTTGGGTACTGGTTACTGTGTCAATTAATTGAATTAAGTGCTTGTAAATGGCGTGCAGTTTACTGGACGACAGCACGAGTCATTAGAAATGGATTTCATTGTACTGTCATAGATAAGAATGACACTTTGATAAGTAAAGTGGATAGCATTATGGTTGGTGCTACCATCATTACTAATGTTTCTCACCTATGAAGCACAGGTACGGGTGCGGCAACCAGTGCACTACTGTCCAAGTGTATCTTCAATGTTTACTTGAACAATTCGTTCTAATGACTCGTGCTGTCATGCACTTAAAAATGCACTTTGCCTAAATTCAAGTTAGAATATCAGTTCATACACACTCTCTCCATTTTTAACTGTTTGATTTGTTTCCCGTATTGAATGTTTGACTAACTATATATACAAATATATAATCAATTGAATGGTGGCGTTACACTCACTTTGAATGTCAACAGATGACAATGTAGTGTTCCGTTCTCAAAATTGATGATTCTTACCCTTCTAACCTCCTTCCTAAAACCCTCTGTCACCCTCTTGCAACCCACTCCAGCCCCCACCTCCCCTGGAATCGCCGATTGGCTGGAGGAATTTTGTGTGGCCAATTGGTGATTCTGGGGGTTGGGGTGGCAGTTAAGAGAGGTTAGGTTGTGTAGGAACCATCAATGAACGGAGCAATGTAGAATTTGCAGCGTAGTGTCACCATATACTAGTGTTAACGGAACCGCACTGTAAACTGAAATCTAAAAGTACACAACAAAATTTGTATCAAAGAATACTTTTAATATGCAGAGTATCATTTTTAATAATTTTTTCTTAATACAGAGGGATAGATATAACTCAAGACTCGAGAGAGCTTCCTGCAAATTCAACCTCCACCAGTAGCGTATAATAATCCTAGAAAGTAATTTCGGGATCGGCCTTCAACTAAAAAAAGGTCCAGAAGGCAATGAATCAGGCGAAGTTGAGGCGGAGAGGTAGGGCGGCAGTAGTGGTTCTCGGGGATATCGGCCGCAGTCCTCGGATGCAATACCATGCTCTTTCTCTAGCTCGCCAGGTTTGTAAACCAACACATTATTGTAAATGCGTTGCTAGATTTTGAATTCCTTCAGTTTTTTTTTTTGAAGTGAAAATCATCTCTTCTGTTATGAATGAGCATTGATTCCATGGTGAGATGCATGTGGCTGTAGGTTTCCATAGATTTCACTGATTAGCAGTTTCATTGTTAATCTTATACAATGAGGACTTTTATTGTAAATCTTCTTTTATCATCTAAGATCAGTAATTTGTGTGGGTGCTTGGCTCTCTTGATACATCAGAGCTTCATGCCTGTGCTTTGAAGATTTGTGCCATGGAATACAATGTTTCCTATGACTTTGTACTTTTGTGCAGGCTCATCTAGAGGTGGATATTGTCGCCTATGGAGGTTCGTGAGAAATAATTTTAGAAAATTATCTCCACAATGTTAGTTTCTTGAAATAGTTTCTGATGACTCTGTGAAGTTTGCAAAAACAGATACAATATTCAGTGAATAAGTAAGGTCTTCTTGGAGAAAAAAGAATTGGTTTTGGAAAGAGTAGATTGTCGTTGTATTCTTTCTTCCTTTTCCACAACAAGAATGTACAGTTTGAAAGAGTTCTCCGGCCAATTTTATTCATCTCCTTCTAATCTATGATATCAACTTTTTGAGCAGGCTCTGACCCCCATTGTGCTGTTTTAGAGCATCCTTCTATTCACATTCATAGAATGGTAAATTTTAAAAAATAAGATGATTAAAGCTCACTTACTGCAAGTTGTGGTTTTCCTAATGGTTTGTTTTGATTCTTGCAGAAAATGTGGCCATCAATCCCTCAATCTTTACCCAAAATACTACGTCCTTTTATGCTTATCCTCAAGGCATTGGTTCAGTTTGTGACACTTTTCTGGTATCTATGTGTCAAAATTCCTGCTCCCGATGTATTCATAGTGCAGGTAAGTTGTGAGACTGTACCTATATGCTTGTAGATATTCTATAGTCTGTTTGACTTAAAACACTTCCTTTCCTAAGACAAAGATAGTGAATTCTTTCAGTTCGGTCAATCTTTATTTTAGTGAGAATTCCCTTCTTTTGTTTTTCATTTTATATTATGTAATTCTATGAATTAACGCCTTAATACTTTGATATTAAATCTTTAGTTTTATCTAACCGTTTCAACATCTACAGAATCCCCCTTCTGTTCCTACATTGGTTGCTGTAAATTGGGCAAGCTGGTTTAGAAATTCTGCATTCATAATAGATTGGCATAATTTTGGATACACACTCCTTGCATTGTCCCTTGGCCGGAACAGCCTATTTGTCAGTCTTTATCATTGGTAACTAAATTTTATTTTATATTTATATTGTAATATAATATTCTCTGTATTTCTATGTATTATAATTTCTAAAGTTATGCCTAGGATCGAAAAGCATTATGGGAGAATGGCAAATGGGTCATTGTGTGTGACAAAGGCAATGCAGCATGAACTGGCTCAAAATTGGAGTATAAGGTAAGGATATGACTTCAAATTTGTCTGAACATCATTTCAATTATTCATACTCGCTGGATATTTTGTTGATGACTGACTTTTTTTCCCAATGGGTATCAAAAAATTTAGTGCCACTGTTCTGTATGATCACTCTCCTGAATTCTTTCGACCGGCATCTCTTGAGGAGAAACATAAGGTGACGCTGAAATTCCATGCAAAACATACCTTCAATGAATTTTTCTGTCTTGATAATGTCAACTCTTGTTCGGGCTGTAGTTGTTTTGTAGGATTAGTAAAAGCCTAAGCCAGCCCTATGGCCGCCATGACTGTCTAACCTATGGTAATGTAGTCCATATACATATTTCGTCGGGTGATATTGATATTTAAGTTTTCCCACTGAAGATTTAATATATGCAGAAATACTGGGGACGGACAATGTTGATTCCAGTACAACACCTTTTACAGATCTGGTTGGAAATGATATATACTTTAAGCAAAACAGACCAGCCCTCATAGTAAGCAGTACAAGCTGGTTAGTTCTTTTCAAAATTACTATTAGTTCAATTTTTTCATGTCTACCAGATGATTAAGGTTTCAATTGTGGAAATGCCTGTTTTCAGGACCCCAGATGAGGATTTCGGAATCCTCTTGGAAGCGGCTGTCATGTATGATAGACGGGTTGCTGCGATTCTTAATGAGGATGACTCACACGGGGAGGACCTTGTTTGGGAGGAAATTAGGAACGGGAAACAATTTTTGTACCCAAGGTTGTTATTCATTATTACTGGTAACCACTGCTCGTGTGTAAAGATAGGTTTTCCCTCCTTAGTTTTAATGGCAATATGAAATTTTTAACCTGACAAAATTTGGGCTCTTTGATATGAAGGCAAAGGACCTGAAAAAGAAAAATATGAGCAAAAGATCATAAAACTGAATCTCAAGCGTGTAGCTTTTCGTACAATGTGGCTTCCAGCAGAGGACTATCCGGTGCTTCTTGGTATGTACTTTTATTATATTTGTGGTAGTAATCATCTCATATGTATCTATTTCTCCAGCATGTATATTTGATGGTGCAGGATCAGCCGATCTTGGAGTTTGCCTTCACACTTCTTCTTCGGGTTTGGATCTTCCAATGAAGGTTTTTCTTTTTTTCTTTTTACTGAGTATTCATATCTAGCTGCAATATTTGTTTATGCATGAAAATTTTGTTTCATTTTACCTCTTCTCAAATGTTTTTTTCAAATTTAGGTTGTGGATATGTTTGGGTGTGGATTGCCAGTTTGTGCCGTATCCTACTCTTGGTATGAATATGGGTTTACCCCCTTTTTTTCTGAGTACACTGGGTTCATTTCTTACATGGGTTCGAAGCTTAAAAATATTTTGTTTTTAAGAAGATTTTTTTAATACATGGGTTTCATGCTTATAAATGTGTCTAAACTTTTGAGAAGCATCAAGGAGCTTGTACAAGTTGAACAGAATGGGTTGTTGTTTTCTACTTCATCGGAACTAGCGGATGAGCTCATGGTGAGTTTTTCATTTATGTTTGGATAATTATTTAATGTAACCTCTTGGTGTTTTGTCTAGGAAGGAGCTGTATAACCTGTATTATACCACTGGTTTTACTCAATTGTTATGGTTTTATTTGTTTATTTTTAACAAGACACGAGGTTAGGTTATAAATTGTTTATTAGCATTTTTAGGGAAATTTTTCGAATAAGCTTTATTTGTTGGTTTACTCATTTGATATGCTTGAGCTTATTTAATAAGCTTTTGTGGTCCTTTTTAGTAGCTTCTTAAAATGTTGATGAACTCTTCATTTATAATTCCATTTTTAGCTCATTTTTATCTTAAAATCACTTTAAAGTTTAAACATGTCAATTTTATATTTAATCTAGCTTATCAGCTAAATTTTACCAAACACCCAGCTAACTTATTGGTTATAAGTTGTTAATTAACTTAACTACTAGCTAGCAACTAACTTATTTAGCTTGTTTTGTGAAACACAGTTAAAATCACTTCTAAGATACACCCATATTGAGAACCGCCGTTGTCATCTAAACTTTTCAACTTGAGGGAAACCACCGTTATCATATAAGCTTTTCAATTCGTTTTAGGAGCAAATTTTCGATGTAGTGAACATTGAGAGGAAGTGGCGATATATGGGAACAAATCCTTGGAGCAACTCCATATTAGTAGAGTAACAGCGTCTGTCCAGATTTATTTGAAAGATGAGAAAGTTACTTCAAATCAATCTTAGATCGACCCTATTATAAGTCAACTCCATTTGTTGTGATGCCACATGAAAACATCGTCCAGATTTAAATGTACGCAACCTTGTAAAAACAATGAGGTTGTTTCCGTTTGACCCTCCATGCATTGATGCATTTACTACCCAAACTTTATTGAAAGCAAGAAGGGAAGTTTAGTGCATCATTTTGATTTTGCCCATTATTTACGTGAAGCTAAAACGTTGTAAAAAATTCACTCTTTTTGTTCCCCAGATGCTATTCAAGGGCTTCCCCGAGGAATGCAACATGTTGAAATCTTTGAGGAACGGGGTGCTAGAAAAAGGATCGTGTGCAAAATGGGATTTTGGATGGGAAGAGAATGCCATGCCCTTAATAAACCAGGAAAGTGCAATTCTCTCTCCCCAGGGCTCTTATTTATTTACTTCCTTAACTCTGTATAAAATATGATTTTTTTGGCGGTATTTTTCATTGTTCACGAGAAGTAATGTGTTTGGGATTTTGCATATTGAGTTGAATGCTTCTATCGTGGATCTTAGATTTATATAATACGGCCCCCTTCTTTTGACAACAAGAAGGGGTGTCATATTATGACAACAAGGCCTACAGTGCTCCGTTCGAAAAACTGATGGTTCCTACCCCCCCTGCCCCCACCCCAAATGGCCGATCGTATTTATTATTTAATAATGCAATGCATGAATTAATATGTGGTTGCCTTTGTGCTATGATTTGCTCTCAGACACCAATTTGAACTGTATTATGTGATATGCAGGTCATCTCTCAGAGACATGGCTGAAATGTTGGCATAAAGAAATGACCTTATGGCCAGGTGAGATTTCATCAGTTAAAGACAAATCTAAATCCTTGATTTCTTTTTTATATGCCCTTGTCTAAATCTACATAATATATATAATTTTGTAATGGGGTTGGGACTTATAGTTTATTTATTTGGTCATTGGGATTGCTAGACATTTTATTACTAAATATCTGAGTGAATTAAAACCTTATACTAGTACAATTTTTATTGATTATTCTTCTTGTGGGGCTCAGTATCATTGAGGGCACCATCATCAACAATAACAATTAAATTAATTAATTAATTAATCTATAGTACGTTACACGTTCTTTTCTTGTGCTCCATTATCATTCAATTTTGGCATTCCTCAATAGTCAAATATCAAGAAAACAAAACAAAAGAAGGGATTGGACCATGAAATCTCTGGTTTCTGATAATGCCACGTCCAATGTTCTTTTACGTCTGTTGCAAACTTTTTATTTGGCATCTTACGATACCTTATTCTATAACCAATAACAGCCTCTTTGTCTTTGGTACACCTCTCCCTCTCTATGTCTTTCTCTCTGTCTCTTTCTCTCTCTCTAGAAAAAAACATGTGCTCCAAACAGTGCCGGACCCAGAAATTTTGGATCGTGGAGTCGTGTCTCTGAGATATTTTATCAACACATGACATGTCGAACGTTAAGTAAAAATGTACTTTCTTGTCACATGTTTGTCTCATTTTAGTTTATAATGTTTAACTAAAACATTTTTTTAAATTTATTTAAATATTGGTGTCAAATAAAAACTTAAAATTTTAGATTTAAAAATAACATAAAATGTTTTATGAAATAAGAGTTTTCATGACTATAATTTTTAATAAAATGATAGACAAAAACATGTAATGAAAAACTATCTTATTTAACTTTGTAAATAATGTTTAAGTCAAGCATAACGAGATGATGGGAATAACTCATAAAGTTAAAGATTAGATTTATTAAAAAGATATTGAATTGGATTGATTTTAATGCCAATTAAATAAATTTTGCATGGTATATTTTCAAAAAGAAATAAATTTCAGAAAAAAATTGACAAGATAAATCTAATAAAATTAATTTTATTTCGGTAACCTATTCAAATTTAAATTGACCGATAATCAAGATTTATCCAGTTTGACTTCAAAAGTCAATTTAGACGAATATTAATTTTTATTTCAATACCAATTTGTAAATAAAGTATACATAAAAGATTTTTTATTTTAGAGTTGTTAAAAAAAGTAAAATCAATTATGTAAGGAAAGAATATGACTAGACAATGAAGGAAATGAAACAAAAAAAAAGAAAAACAAAAAAGAAACGTACAAAAAAATGGAAAAGGGAAACAAAATAAACAAAAAGTAATTTTTATATCAATGCCAATTTGTAAATAAAGTATACATAAATTCATAAAAGATTTTTTATTTTAGAGTTATTAAAAAAAGTAAAAATAATTATGTGAGGAAGAATATGACTATGCAATTAAGGAATGAAACAAAAAAAAGAAAAGAAAAAAAAAAGAACGTACAAAAAAATGGAAAAGGGAAACAAAATAAACGAAATGTGGTTCAAAATTGTAGCAACCCAGTTTTGAAACATCAACCCGAGATCAAAGTTACCACTAGCAATGACGCCGCTATCCACTCCGTCTAAACGTCCGTGCTTCAACTTTTGCGTTTTGCTTAATATATAGTAATACTATATTTTTACCTAAATATATATAAATATATAGAAAAAAATTACAAAATTCCGTGGGGTCGCGTGATCCCGTGTGACTCTATGTGGGTCCGCCCCTGGCTCCAAACACCATTCTCCTTTCTTTCGGTTAACAACCTTGATCTCTTAACACTAGCAATGAGTGTCATAAAAAACCCCATTTTTTAAGGAATGAGTGTTATATTATGACACTCGGTCCATTTGGAAACCCTATGATGCTTATGTGGTGGTTTCTATCTCTCTAATCCCTCCACAAACCCTCATCAGCCTTCCCCACTAGCCCACCCTCCTAATTTGAGTGACAATTCACTGTAAAAAATTCAGTGGTTTCTATCTCTCTAAACCCTCCACAAATTCTATATCTTTTGAAATCATTTTATTTACAAATTGTTACATCAATAAAAAATATAAATTATATATTAAAAAAATACGTAAAAAGTTTTGCAAAATAAGAGGTGACAAAAATATTTTATTTTATCAAATAATCAATAAAGTATACAAAGAAACAAAAATTATCGAGAAGTGAAAAAAAGATTGTAATCAAAATTGAGACGGAAGAAGTATAAGCCTCAAAACATTTGAACAATTAAATTCATGCATAGTAATTTTTATTTTTAGTTTACCCTGATCATTTGTTACAATAAAACAATCATACTTCTTCAAATAGTATTTTTGATATAGTTTTTAGATATTAATATTTCTTAATTTTATCATAATATCCAAATAAATAAAACATAACAATGGTCAAACAGTTTACACCGCTGCTTCAAGAAATTACTCAGTTTTACACTAATACTCTAGGCTGGCAGGCTGCCAACAAAGCTAAATACATGGCATTTAAAATGGTGACTAGATAATTATTAAGTATGAGTAGGTAATTACAAAATGACAAATTTCTTAGAGTATTCATGTGATTTTTTCATCTTAATAAAGATCTGCTTGCATTCCTTAATACTGCTCTATGTTTCCAAAAATTGTCCTCTTTCAAATAATGTGTAGAGTAATACTTTATCATTTTTAAAATAATTTTATTTATAAATTAATTTAAAAATAATAATACAAGTTACATATTTAGAAGTTACATAAAAAATTATACTTGTATAAAACAAGTAATGACACGATTATTTTTATTATATCAAGTAATTAAAAAATGCATACGCAAACAAAAGTTATCGACAATCTAAAATACTCGGTAGTACAGAGGCCAATTATTTTAGGACAAAGGGATAGGCCTCAAAAAAAACAAATTCTCTGTTTCTTTATTGCATGGACAGCCCAAAAAAGATTATTTTTCAATTTTTGGATTTTTTGTGCATCTTATTCCTTTTTTTCTTCTGTATCACTTTTTACTAACACAATGTGACTTTTCTAAGACTCCGCGTCAACCCAGCTTTTAAATAAAATAATTTTAAAACATTTGAAGGTTTGCCTCCGAACTCCGTTCGTGTAATCTATTGCAGGATGGAGGGAATATATGACTTTATTTTATCCAATCACACGCTTGCCTTCTCCGACCATTTGAGAATATTTTTGGCCCTTATCAAAAGCTATATCTGTCTTCTACGGCCATTGCAATGGCCCCGCCCAAATGTAAATCACGCCGAACATCACAGAAATCTATCTAAATATAATTAAAAATATTAAATTTATGTCCTCAAAATAGGATTTGTTAGCATTGTATATATAATATCATAATTTAGCACAGTGTATTGATATTTTATACGGAGTACACTTTTTTGGTACTATATATTGATACACTTTTACATTATAAGTTTTATTTTGACATAAAATGTTTAAGTACTATTTTGGAATATTAAACATGTTTTAGTCATATTTTTTTAATAAAAGAATGGGTTGGGTTACTCAAGTTTAGTCATTGATATCACAATGATGGTTTCGGATGCATGAAAAAAAACTAGTTAATAGTTAATCATTTTGACATAGCATTTGAAGTTTTGAACTACTACTTTTTTTAGAGTTTGTTTCGATTTTTAATGTTTGACTGATGTTATTTTAAATTTAATTTTTTTGAAGATTGAAGTGAATTAGAAAATAAAAATTACATATTAAAAAACTCAATCTGATGTTATTAGAAATGGGATATAACATAACTATATATAGTATGCTAATATACTCGTATCAAATAAGAAGTGAAAATAATTAAAGAAGGGGAATAAGTTCGATCTTGTGAATAGTGAACCTGAACCACAATTTGGGGTAGAGGGACCAGGGAGTAATACTATATGGTTGAAATTGGTATAATTGAAAAAGAAATAAAATGAGCCACACAAACTATTTTTCATTTTACAACACTTTTCTTAACGGTGGAACACCCACCCCGGGTGCCCCCACACCCCGGCCGGACAGAGTTGTGAGCAACACATTTTTTATATAAAAAAATGTATAAGAAAGTAGACTAATTTTTCTGATAAAATAAATAATAAAATTTTTTATGTTTAAAAAACATAAAAAAACATGTAAAAAGTGATAAAGATTTGTCATTGTAGAGTTTGTGACTCTACTCACTTGTCACTCGCTGAATGAACCATTTTTTATTGGTAAAAATGTTTTACGTCACGTGTGACATTCCATTTTTGTCTGACCATTTTTTTCTGGTCATTGTTGATCCTCTTGGACTACATAAAAGTTAAAATGGGAATTTTGGGTGAGATTAGATTGAGGGAAAAGTATATATGCGAGGTATCCGCTTTGGATTGGATGAATGTGGCCGACCTCAAATCATGTGAGACGACACATCATTATATTTGGATGAGTCGACTCAAATCAATGCATTGGGATCTTTTTTTTAAAAAAAGGGATCTTCAATTCGTCTCATCTTCATCTCAATTTCCGTCCAAATTAAAATGGACGCCACTTCAATTAAATTAGTACACGTAGTTCTAACGTCGTACAATTATCAAATAATATATATTCGGATATTCTAACCACGTTTTCGTCTTTTATTAGACTTCTTCCCCTCTCTCCACAACTCGTATATATGAACATGTATGTATATCACGTTACATAAATGTTGGGAATGCATACCATGATTAGTAATTAAAAGAACATATTAATGTCTAGATAATAGTTAATGATCATCCCCCAAATGTTAGATTGTGAATTTTATATTGGTTGTGGCCCAGGAACAGTTATTTATATTCTAACACGCTCGCTCACGTGCAGCGTAGTCCTTTTCGAGCCTTACACGTGAAACCTTAACTTTTTTAAAACTGGGTGACGCTGAGTTTCGAACTCGTGACCACGAGGCTCCGATACCATGTCAAGAAACCAACTCAACCAAAAACTCAAGCTTGTGGTTGTGGCCTAGGAACAGTTATTTATATTCTAACAATAAATAAGTAACAAAAGTTTTCTCTCTAGATAGATGCTTGGTTGTTTGTGATCTAACCTTAATAGTGAACTTCTCTACTAGTATGTCACATTCTCCTTAGCTTGACTAATATGTGAGGCTATAATTGGGACACCTAAGTATATAAAAGGAAGTACACCTATAGGCATATTAGTGGTAGAAAGGATATTTTCTCTCAATCTCATCATTAACGCTCCTCACTTGAGACCTTTCCTGATTTACTTGTAATATAGTGATTCGTGTAAATTGCTCCAACACCTTAACAACACATTCAATAGATCTCTGATCAACTTTATGAGCAATAATTAATTAGATCATTAGCAAACACTACATTAATTAGGTTCAATGATTTACATATTGAGTGAAAATATCCAATAGGATTCTCTTAAGTCCCTTAGCACCTTTGAAATATACAAAAGATTTCCCATCTGGTTGAATAGAATATGTAGCAGTAGTCACATGTATAGTAAATAATTCAAGAAATAAATGTAGGTAGAAATTTAAAGGTATACAGTATTTGGATCACAACCTTCCAATTTACTAGTTATATGCTTTCATTATGTAATTAGTTTGCCAATAATATTCAATATATCCTGATGATTATTGTCCCATGTATAGATTTATCTAGTACGGAGTATTTTTTATTATCTTAAATTAATCAGTTATTCAATTGAACTCTAACTTTGTAACAATTTATCACCTCTCCACATATTGATACACTTATCATCTATCTTTAATATAGTTACAACTATACCACTCGATCACAAAATTTGTACTATGATAATATAGTTGTTAAAGGTGTTGACCCATTGTAAAAATATTTTTTCATTTGTCGAGTATATGCTCTCGAACTGTGCTACTTGTAAATTATTTAGTGTATATGCAATTGTACATCAATACTTTATACTAGGTCAGTACAATCGTCAGAATTCATACTGAAATTTTATACTAGTGTAAAGTATGATAACAATAGGTATTTGGTCGAGTTTCTCATGCTTCATGCATGGCACCAAAATAAGCATTGTTTGGCCATTAATCTCTTTTAATTTGATAAGATCTCTCTTAAATTTTATCCATAAATTTTGTGAAAAGTTTTGTTTGAAAATAATGTTTTTTATTAGTCTTAGCATTTTAGATAAAATTTGAATGATGTAATTTAATCTTAATAATACTAACACCAAAGTCCGTGCGATATACAGAATTGGTGGAATTAGAATTGAATTGGAAATTGAAATTTAATGTAATTGATTTGAATGTAATTGAATTCTCCAGTTTCTTACTATTTGATACTGTCAATTCCAAATCTATATATTTTTTGTGCTACCAAACAACAAAAATGGAATTATTAACCCTAATTTAAATTCTATAATTTGAATTTCGTATATCAAATGAAGCTTAAATGTTATTACGGAGTATTAGATAACTTGTTAAAACACTAACGCCAAACACTAATGTTATTAGCAAACGGAGCCAAAATCAAATAATCCAAAAACAAATACTCCCTCCTTCGCCACTCAATTCAATTTAGACATTTTGCTTTTTTAAATAAAATTTTAACCATTTATTTTCTTGTATATTTCAACATCTTTCTCAAAATACCTTGAAATCATCATTTTACCAAGTAAGAAACCAGCTGAGCTTCAATTATAATTACACCCAAATATACAAATGCTACAAGCTGATCTCTCCTATATTCAAACAACTACTGACACAGTACCTATACCAAGAAACACAGATAGATTATTAAACATGTATAGCTTCCATAACAATGGAGATTCCGGGGATCAAACCATCCCTCTGGCAATTCTCCCCTGCCCAAGAAGCAGAATTTGAACTACTAGCAGCTTTCCTGGGTTTCCAAATCTCTGCAACTGATGAATGTGCCATGAAACCCATATGGCACTCTCGACGGAAGTTTCACCGTCGCCTCCAGTTTCAGGCTCTCCGCATTCACTATCTGAACCTCTGATTTCCATTCCTTCTCGTCATGAACAAATGCCAGTATATACCCATCATCTTCTTCATCATCTTCTTCTACAGAGTTTCTGGGCAAGAACAGAGGCTCCCCGCCGTACTTCTCCTCTCCGTACATGAATTTCTTCACTTCTCCGGTGAAAAGATCGACTTTTGCGAAGCCGGAGACCTTCGGCCACGGCTCTGTGATTGCCAAGTACGCGTACCGGGTTTTCCTCCCCAGGCGATTTCTGTTCACCATTCCGGCTTCCAAGTTCATCTCTTCTTGAATGATTGGCTTCCTCGTTGATTTTCCGGTGGCCGGGTTCAGTCGGATTTCCGATAACACGCTCTTTAATCCCTCCTCGCACTCGTTGAAGATTGAGTCCGGCGGGGTCATGCACGACCCGATCACCACGATTTCGTTGGTCTCTGTTTCTTCCCAGGCGTTCCAGAGATGGAAGCAGAAGCAGTCCGGGACTTCTACCCATTTCATCTCCGACGAGTCTCCGGCGTATTTGTTTAGGATTCCGAATCTGGGTTTCTTGCTCTTGTCGTAGACCACCGGAGAGCCGCCGCGGAACATCTCGGAAATCTTGAACACCACTTGTTGGTCAGGGACGATGACGAATCTCTCGGTGATGGCGAAGTCGTGGATCATGGTGGGGTCGGTGACGGGGATGTCGACGTCTTTGGATTTCTTCCCGTCGCGGGAGAAGGAGAAGTACTTGAGGTACGGCTTCTGGATGACGTCGTAGGACAGAGCGAAGAGCTCGCCGGAAACAGGGTCGAGCTTCGGGTGGGCGATCATGGTGGACTTCAATTGCCCGTCAAAATCGTATCTTTTCACCGTTTTGAGGTCGCCGGAGGGGGTTATTTCCACGTGGTACGGCATATCATCCTCCGACATGGCCAGTAGCCGATTGTTGAAGTAAACCAGGCCGGCGTTGGCTACTCCCATGCCGCGACTGCGGTCTAGGAGTCCGAAAATCCCGCGCGCGTAGAAAAGGAGCAGTCTTGCGATGCCGGAGTGGCCGTGGAGCTCGCCGATGGCCTTGGGGAAGAAGGGGCGTCCGACGGCCCGTTCTTGGACCAGCCTCTGCGTCTCCGTGAACCGGCAGGCGTAACTGGCGGCGCCGTTACAGAACTTCACGGCGTGAATCATCCCGTCTCCGTCGAAGAAGTGGTGGCCGGCCACCGGCTCGAAGTGCGGGTTCGCGCCGTTCCGGACGTAGACGCCGTCAATGCACTCGGGAATCTTCCCGTCGACGGGGAGCGCGTGACAGACAGGGCGTTCCGGCACGGGAGAGAAATTCCCGGCGATTTGAACTCGTGGGTCGGTTGTTTTGGGCAAAGGGCGTTCGAGCTCCCGCTCCGTAATCCTGCTCTCCACTGCATCCAGAGCCCCCGCCGCCGCTCTCTGCAACAAATTCCACCCACGGCGCGGCGTAGAAGAAGAAACGGCAACAGGAGCTTCTTGATGTTCTTTGGGATACGAAATTGGGATTTTGATGGGATTATTATTTGAAGAAGGTTTGTTTGGAGAGTGGAGCAGAGAAAGGTCTTGAACAGAGCATTTGGGGCTCTGAGGTAAGAAAGAAAGGTACGAGGAAGAAGAAGAAGACATTTTAAGGGACAATTTTGTTGGTTGGAAACCCCAAAAAGGGTTTACAATGGGAGCAGACATAATGGCCAGAGTTTGATTTGGTTTATGGTTGAGAGAAATGTTTGAGAGGAAGGGGAAGACAACATATATATATAGAGAAGGGACAGAGGGTGGCCGGGTGGGGGTGGGGGCATGGGGGGGCCCAGTTCCCAACATGCAGCGGGAGAACCACGTGTTGCAATATGCAAAGGCCACTTAGAAAAATGGGAAGGTTTAAGAAATGAGAATTGTGTGGAAGACACACTGTTGACTGTTGTGTTAAGATTTGACACATCACCACACTTTTGTATTTGGTCTCGTACCTAAGACCTTTCTTCCCTTGGGGTGCAATTTTCTCTAATTAAAAAAATGATATGCGGTTTTTAGATACTCTCCGTCCATAAATAAACTTCCCACTTTCCTTTTTCGTCCGTCCACAAATAAACTTCCCATTTTCTTTTTTGGAAACTTTTTTATAACAAAAAGACTTAATTACCCCTGCCCATCCACTCTTTTTTCTTTTTTTTTCTTCTTTCTCTCGCCACATCCCCCACTTCTCTTTCTTCTTTCTTCTCCCTTTTTTCTTTTATCCTCTCCTTTTGATTTCCCCAATCTTCTTCGTTGTGTTTGAGGAAGTCTAATATACTACACCGTCTCAGAGTATTTGTCCACTGTCATTTTTGCACATCATCCAATACACTTCTTTAATCCATTTTATCTTGTAATTTATATATTAAAAAATTATAGAAATTATATATTAATAATCTATATGTTAAGACAAATCAAACAAGATCACACATGACTATATTTAGGCTTACACATTGAGAGAATTTGATGAGTCAAAGTGCTCAGATGAAGAGTTTTAAAAGTCAAAAGTGGACAAATATAGCGGGACGGAGGGAATATGTTTTTTAAAAGATGGAACCTGAAGTTCTTTCTACAAAATTGGAGGTGCTTAGAAGTAATTTTTGGTAAGAATATGATGAAAAGATAATGGTGCAAGTGAATACGACGGAGGGATGGACATAAAGTTCCTTTGGAATTAGTGTTTAGATATTTTAAGGTACCACAAAATATATATTTTTAAAAACGATGGAACTTGAAAGTTCTTATCAAAAAACTAAAAATACCGAGTAGCAATTTTTTCTCTCAACTCCCCTTATTTTTCTTCTCTGATAAAGAAAGTGATATGCCCCATATAAAAATTTTTTCTCTTGTAACTTTTAAGAGTAATTTAATCACTTAAGTCTACTTTTGACTTATTTTTCAAATTTAATGAAATTGAGAAATAAACTTTATTACCATGTATACATTTAGGTCATGTTCTTTTGGATTGGCATTTCAGAATTGGATGTTGAAAGAAATTGGAAAAGGTTGGAAAAAATTAGAAGGAATTAAAAATATTAGAAGAATTAAAGTGTTGACAAGACACTCAATTAAATGATCATCCAAATTAATATACAGAAAACTCTAATTTTGGATTAAAAAAATTTATCATTATTTGTGTTTGATGGGTATCTTATAAATTTGAATATATATTGTATGATTTTATTTTCATCATATATAAATATGTTCCCAAATCTTTTTAAAGGCCATTTATAATTAAGAAAATGAATAAATTTATTTTCTAACAAGCTAAGTATTCAAATAAGTAAAATATATTATTTTAAGAGAAAAAATATTGTAGAGCATAACATATATCTTAACCTAATATTACTTTTTTAATTCAAAAAAAAAATCCTTTATACTTTATTTAAATAATTATTTTTTCTTTTAAACTAGATTTTTCTTTTGGCATCAGGGGAAAATGTTTTATAAATGAGGGCACTCTTTTAGTTTATCACAAATTTTTATACTATATATTTAAAAAATAATTGGGGCCACTTGCCAAAAAGGAATGCTCACGCCCAAGACTCGAGCAAAAATAAATAACACATGAAGATCTGTGTTAGAGCATGATGGGATTAACCCGATCAGATGGCGGACCAAGAACGGAATAAGAATACGGAAAATATAATCTCGAAATATATTCTTAATTGGGTGTGTAATCAATTGTCCTCCCTTTTCAATGGCGGGTTCTTCCCTCCTTTATAGTATTTCTAGTTTCTAAGTTAAAGTTACACATAATGGGAAGGTTTTTGGAGATCATGGGGTCGTGATTCCCCTTCCCCCCCCCCTTTCCGGTCTTGATCTCTTTCCATTCCCTCCACGACTTGGGGTGTGGGCCACGCGTCCTGTTTCCTTCAATTCTCGGACTGGATCGTCTCAATCCAGTCCATGATTGGACCGTCCGCCTCGTTATCCACATGCCCCCTGGTGGGCCCGATCCGTTACACGCATCTGGACTCACTTACCTTGCACGATTGTGGGCCTTTATCGGGCCTAGAGTCAGGTCCATAAGACCCGATATCCATCAGAGCATATAATCTTTCTTTTGCCTAAGAAGAAGAAAGCACATTCGAGATGCTTCTCACACGGGCCATGGTGTAATAAACTCGTCGTTAAAAGTACTTACAATAACACACATGACAAGAGTGATTGGCCCTAATTAACTTTTGAAAAAAAGATTATTTTGAACACAAAATCCTAAAGCACATTCGAGATGCTTCTCAGTTTTTTTTGTTAAAAATTAGACATTCAAAATGTAGTCAAACATTACAAAACGTCTTGTTTGGAAATAGTATTTTCAATTAGTGTTAAAGATTTAGATTATTATTTTTTATGGTGGAGATAATTTTTGAAAATGTTATAACTAATTTAAACTCTCAATAGAAAGCCTTTTCAAAACATTAAAACTTGTTCTGAAACTCTTGTCAAATGCATCCATACTACTATCTTCGTCCTTGAGTATTTGTCCAGCTTTAACTTTTTTCGGTCAACAATTTTTTACGTTCGACCTATAACTAAATAAAATATATATTGTCAGAGTATATTAATTAGATAAAATAATATTTTGAAAATATTTGATATAATAAATCTAATAAAATTTTTGATATATCAATATCTAATATCATTTTTATTTAATCTAACATTAAAATTTACTCATTTTAATCGGAAAAAGTCAAATGTGAACAAAATCAACAAATACTCAGAGACGGAGGAAGTACTCCGTTCTTTTATCTGATGGAGAAATGGAAATTTAATCACCAAAAACACAGCAAACATTTTCAATGGACTGGGCCATTTAAAGTTTTGCACTATTTGGACTAAAAAAGGTATATCCACAATAAAACCCGAAGAAAGAAAGAGACTGAGCTTAAAATCTAAGGCGGCCCAAACAAAATGGAAATACACAGTATATATTAATTCGATTGAAGCCCAATAAGCACATAGGAATTCCATTCTCCTTATAAACAATGTTACCCAAACTTCTTAAACTTAAAACAAAAACTCCTTATTTTTTATGTAGTATCTCTTTGGAGCATAGAGAGAAGTGGTGATTTGAAAAAACGAAATGTTATTCTTAATTAATAAAAATTTTTTATAAATATATTCTAAATATAAAATATGAAAATAAGTACGTACTATAACATATCTCAATATTAGTGGGTAAATTTCACCCATGGTATACAAACTTTCATCATTATTTCAGTTGGGTATATAAACTTTAATTCCTATTACAAAAGTACACGAACTTTCAACATTCTTTCACCGGTGATCCAATGGACAATTTCTAGGTCACCTTCAAATCATTTGAGGTCAAATTATAATTTTATAAATTTAAATTTTTTATTTTANCCCCCCCACGCACCCATTCTTCTTCTTCTTCTTCCTTTAAAGTACTATAAGTACTTTTAACGACGAGTTTATTACACCATGGCCCGTGTGATTTGGTAAATGTGTGTTGTTACCTCCAATGGTTTCAAAACTTACGTCGTTATCCCCCATGGTTCTGATATTGTTACGCAAATGCTCCTCTAGACTAAAATATCCATCAAATATTATTTGAATAGCTCCACCAGCCTCTATGATTTTAGAAATTGGCACAAACGCTCCCTCTTTTCTTTATTGTTTTTCTTTTTTCTACTACTTTTTCATATAGTTTTTAAATTTCTTTTAAAAATTATTTTTATAATGTTCTGATAATCAATTTTGTTGTGTTTGCAATAAAAATCAATTAAATAAAAAGAATTGATGTATACTTCATTTGCCTCAAATTAAATATTTTCATTTTTTGTTCAAAAGGGGTCTTTATTGGTTCATTTTCATGATACGAAAATTAATAAAATATTCTCTTTGTTCACTAAAGTTCATTTCTCATTTGCCGTTCATTAATTTTATACCTTTTCTTTTATTTCAATCAAAATTAAAATAAAAGAAAAAAGAATAGAAAATAAAATAAAGAAAAAGAAACGTATATGAAAAAAATATATTTTTAGACAAAAAAAATATACTTTTATATATTAAAAAGGTGTTATTCAGCATTCTTTTGATCCTGACATATTCAAAAACATAAAAATATTTTTGAAACAAAAAACAAAAATATTTAATTTGACAAATGAAGTATATGTTATTTTTTTATTCCAAACAGAAACACTTTTTTATTTTTTAAAACTTTTTAAAAAATGTAGGTTTGAAAAACCAATTTTTCATTATTTCACACACAAATATTTTTCTTTTTTTAATGAGAAAAGAAAAGTAAAAAGAAAAACAATAAAGAAAAAGTAGAGGGGACGTCGGCGCCCATTTCCAAAACCATAGGGAATAGCCGAGTTATTCACATAATATTTGAAGGATATTTTTGTCCATGAAGACATTGGCGTAACAATATCAGAATTATGAAGGGTAACAACGTAAATTTTAAAACAATGAGAAGTATAGTGCAATAAACAGTTTTAACGACTTGTTCTCAACGTGCCCATTAGATAAAAGTTTTTAAATAATGTTTGGACAATACTAGGGGCATAGTTTTAAAAACGGACCGGACTGGTTTGGCATGAAGACCGCCTTTGACGATGAACCGGTGGGACCGGGGGTTCGAACACGGAACTAGATGGTAGGGAAGAGCGTCTCCAAACCATCTCTGCTACGTTGCTTGGTGGGAACCTTCTACTACTCAATTAATATATTCTTCATTCAAATTTTTTATCAAATACTTTTTAAGTATATATAGTTTTTTTTTATACTAAAATTCAAAACCCATTGAGGTAATTGATATGGATTGCATATCACACAAATAAAATGTATATATTTTTAAATACTAGATAAAATGTTTGAAAAAATTCAAATCACTTTTTATTTCTAAGATTTTTTAAATAAGTAAATTTTAT